TCCTAACTGTGAGGTTGTCTTGCCTAGATTGGAAGGCAGAGTTTAGACCAGATTACAAGTGGTGCTTAAGAACAGGGAAGAGATAGAAATATGCTGTGCTCTATCACGTTAAGATGGGAAGAGAATTCATCTTGGAAGGTCTGCAGGAACAGCCTGCTCCAGCAGGCGGCCTGGTGAAGGCTGCCGGGGCAGGACCTGCTTCCCTTAGCAAACACATGGCTCTGCAGAGATGGAATCTAAATCAGACCAGGCCCCACTTGTTTCCAAAGACGTGACACCAAAATCACAGGTCATCTAGTGCTCTCCCTTTGCACTCTCTATCATCTTAAACCCAGCAGCTTTCCATTTGCAAAGCGTAACTAGCCAGCAATCCTCTGGAGCTGCAGAAGATATCTGCTGCTAAACCACGATATCCCCTACCAGGCTTTTGGCCCCATGGAGCGGAAAGATATCTTGCTTTCCCAAGCTCAGAACTCAAAGGGATTTGTGAGCTGTGATCCCCTGCTTATAATAAAAGAAGATAGTAGCTCCCAGCTGCTGCTGAGCTTGCATACATGCCCCCTTCTTCTTTTAGTTTCTACCTCCTGCTACAGGCACTGATTAAACATACGCTGCTGTCTGATGGTGGTGAAGCTTCTAAAACTGCCCTTCAGGGCACCTTGTCGTGTCTAATTCCAACTAGACATGTTTGTCTAATGTGTGTCCCCAGCCTTCATGACTGCCTGTAGCACTTCTTTGCTTTGTGTGCCTTGCAGCCTTTTTCCAGAGCTCTTGAAGAAGGGAGGAGCAAGGAAGTGAAAATGGAGAGGAATTGTTGCCTTTTTTGCAAGTCCTGAATTGCAATTTTCTCCATTTCCACTGCTCCTAAGAGAAGCTATAGTGGGTGCTATAGCCATGATGAACATGTAAGACACTTCTGAGTCACTGGTGGTATCTGTGTTTGGCTGTTTTTTTCTCAGGGGTGACAACTAACCAATGGCATAAGATACAGCAGGAAACATGAAAGCTAAACATCCCATATCTTTGCTATTTTTCACCCTGGAAATGGCAGATATAGATCACAGTTCAAGAGATAAGTCACCTAACCTGAACTGTTAAAGCACAATTCTCCTGACACAATTCTCCTGCAGAGAAGGTAACAACAGATAATTGAGAGCATGGGTTAATATCACTTTAATACAATGATTCAACGTGATTGAGCCCCATAAATGTGAATGCTTTAACTAAAGAATACTTAACTATAGTATCCAAAGCACTTAATTAAAACATGTGATTAAGAAAAGCCACACAGGAAGGTCAGCACTATTTGGTATGTGTGGAAATTGGAGCGGTATAGTGACTAGGGCCATGCAAGTGGGCTGGATAATGAAAAGTGACAAGCAGGGGCACAAAATTCAGGTTTTTCACTCTCAGCGCTCTTTTCTGGCTTGTACTTCATCACAGCACATTTTGGCAGAGAATTTTTTGGCAAAGGATACACTTTATGTGTCTCCTCCTGTCATTAGAAATATCTTTGCATATAGTCAAAAAACTGTGAGGAATCATCTTCTTTTCTTTGGACTTCACACTAGTATTTCTCTCTCTCTCTCTCTCTCTCTCTTTGGAAAAACCCCAAGCCTTTGATCTTGATCTATATTTGCAACGTCTGTATTTTTTAGCAAACAACTAGATTCTTATTTTCTTATTCTCTTATGTCACCTAGATTATTATTTTCTTCATTTTTTTAAAGGATTAGCATCACTCTTAAAAATATTCAAGTAGAATAGCCTGATCCATGGCATAAGTATTCAGTACAGCAACACTAAGTGCTTATATTAGTAATAGAATGAACAGGCAGCAACTATATCAGGAATTAGTTGCCAATATCTTTTCTAGTTGCAGGGAAATCCCAGATTAAATTTAGGGTTTCCTTCATTACCCATGGACTTTGGATACATTACTATATTTAATGAAAGACAATACAAATACTACTTCATAGTTTTCTGGAGAGCTTTTTTTTTTTTTTAATGTAGTGCTCTTGATCTTTACCAGCTGTTGATTCAAATTTGGCATAAGTCTATTTCTTTGTGTACAGCTTGCAAACAATGCGGGTTGTAAAATGAGTAGGGCACAAACCCAATTTCAATTGTAGGCTGGGATTCCCCAATGCTTTCACAGGGAAACTTGCTCGATAACTGTGTTTGCTATTGGGTGAGACATGAAGACCAAGCCCATCGTATTTAACCTTTGGCTACCAGAGTATCATGAGAGCTCCAAAGCCAGGCCATTAAAACAAGGAAGAAAAAATAAATCATAATATAGAGCCCAAGCTTGTTTTTTCCTCTTACCACATTCAACCCACAATTGTGTATTTTCAGGCAGTTTAAATTGTCATGTAATGCTTGCATAAACCTCCAGTGTCTTTCTGTTCATTTCTTTCTGGACAGGAATATAACAATTTGTGGTGTAGTAATGAAACCTGGATATTATACAAAGCACGGATGCCTTGCTGAATACTCATAGTTAACTAAGGATGATTCATGAAGTTGTAATAGGATCCATAATTTAAATCAGCTCAGTGTGAAGGTTTAGGTCATATACTTCAAAACAGTTGTGTCACTGTTTCCTTCTTAAGATGCATAACCGGTGCTTTACTCTGCTAAAGAACACCCAAAGGACGTAATAACTGCTTAAAAATATTTGAGAGACACATTCACGTTAAAATCTAATCCACTGTTCAGACTCAAAAGTTCCAGTTATTAAACCTGCTCAGAACCCTCTAATATCCATGGCTTGAAAAATGCAGAAAAATGCAAACAAGTTTTTTTATTAAGAACAATACAATCTCAGCTTTTACTTTGCAGATGAGAAGCTCACCATAATATTCACTTATAAAAATAGCAACAATGACTTCTGAAAGTTTAAAATTTGCAGTAACTCATTATTTCATAAAGCAAATTTCTAGACAAAAGGTATTTCCACTGATGCTGTCTCTTTTCAAATCACTAGTTCGTGACCTACTGTGTAGGAGGCAGTGCCCGAATACTCAAAGAGAAATTATAGCTTCCAATTAGTGCCCTTATAAAGCCCATTGATTTAGGAATTATGGGGAAGATAAAAGCCTTTTTATTCCCATCCCCTTTAAAATAATTCAGATAGGAGCGAAACTGAAGCCATAAATTGTGGTGGGTTAAGTTGGAATATTATTTACAAAGGAACAGAAAGAAGGAGTTTTCTTCTAACAAGCAGTCATGAGACTCTAAAGTTCATGTGGGTAAAATGCTTTACACTGGACTGAAAATGCTAAGCTGGCAGTAATTTGTCCTGATGGGATCATTATTGTTCCCAGTGAGAAAACATTTTTGTCTTAAAAAGTCATTAATGCATTCAAGATTCTGCTGAATACAACTAGCAGGAACATTACACGCAGAGCAGGAACTGATTCCTATCTTTTACCATTGCAAGTGACCTTTATACTTGATTCTGTTATACTGGAAACCTGTTTCCCCTGTAAATTAACAAAAATACACATTTTCAATTATCTAAACTTCGGCACTGGAAAAATGTTGAGATAAGCTTTTGAAAGCAAAGAAAGGGATCCATTCTACCTAACGGCAGGACTGTGTTTACCTATTAGACATCTAGTGAATCAGTCTTCCCAACACCTGAGCTGCAACTGAGAAAGATGCCCTTGAACATCCTCAGAGGAAAACCCTGCCCTTAGATTGGATCCCACCCAAAAAGCTGTTATTGGCTTTTTTTTTTTAGTTTGAGTCTCACAGTCAACTACTCTAGCAGAACAAATTAGAAAAGTAAATTATAGCTATTTTAAGCTCTCTCTGTAGCAGCCCAAGGAGAATAATTTATTTAAAATACATGTGTGTTTGCGTATGTGAACATGCATATGACAAATACTGCCGTACATCAAGAGATTAATCTCTTATGATTTTATTTTTTAATCTATTATATTATTTTAAAAATATAATAGAAGAAGGCAGATACTGTACAGAATTCAAATTCAGAGATATATAACCTTAGATAACTTTAAATATAGTGTTTCCCCCCTCAATCCAGTGCTTTTGAAGCATCTTTATTCCTGCCATATTTATGATTATAAAATAGAAAATAGAGAATAGGAAAAAGAAAATAGAAGATAGAAGATAAATTGCTGTAACAAATACTCACTTAATATCTGGGTCCTGCCACGTTTAGACAATCTTTAATATGTCTCTTTTGCCCACCGAGGGACAAAACACAGACTTTTGCAAACAGCGCTCTGTACCCACAGCCAGGCGCTTTCCTGCCATCGGTCCCACTTCTCCATAGCAATAAATAGTTACTGTCCTCTCCTAAGACTGGAAATCAGGCTCTCTATTACTTTATCTTGTTTTTAATTATCTTTCGCTTTGCTGTGTGAGCGGGCGCTGAGCGCGGCGGCAGCTGCCCATCTCTATGCTGCCCCTTTGTGGGCCTGTCTGGGAACGTGCGAGATGCAAAGAGATGGTATGGCTCTCATTCCACGTCTGTGCACACACAGAAGTCATTACTTTGAATAGCAGATACATTCATACTACAAAATTAAAAACAGGTTTTAGTCTTTCATATGCTGTAATTCACTTATTTGCAGAAAAGTCTTTATATACATATATATATATATATATTCCTAACATAATCAGAAATTTCTGAAATCTCCTCTCCCTCCCTCTCCCCTGTGGCACTATGCTGTTGTAACAACTGAATCTCCAATGTAATTAATATGTTTTCAAGCAATTCTGTTACTGATTTCCAAATACACAAGACAGATAATAAAAAATCACCAAGCACAACAGCAGCTGGATTTAGTGCAAATTTCATTTTCTTCCTGCCTTGCTGACAGTCATCTTTCTCACTTTGGATACTTTGCAATGTTCAGGACAGTTGAAATCTTTTTCTATTTTTGCTTCACACTGTGTTTACAATTCTTTTGATAGCATACAGCTAGTAAGTTAATAGACAGCAAACAGGAATAAGAAAGAAAGTACCTGAGAACATGAAAGTCCACATTCTTCAATCCTGGGAATAAGCTGGCAATTAGAATTCCAGAAAAAAACTATTAGAAGAGTCTGAACATGAATACTTGTCATCCTAAATTGATAAAAAAAAAAGTGCAAAACCTCAGAAGAAACCTTCTACTCTGACAATTCTCTCCCTCATGCCAAAACTTTAATATGAATTTTAGTCCCTCCCACAGCACCTCTGAGCTCCTCCCTCTGAAACTTTCCAAAGTCAGAAAATTGCTAGTTGTGGAAAATATAAGGCATGTTTGACCAGTTCTTAGGTTCTTCATTGAAAACTGGGAAGCCTGAATTTCTGACATTTGCAGTGAAAAAAAAAAAAAAAACCCTTTTCCTTCTGGATTTCAGCATGTCAGAATTGGATGAATTTTAGTAAATGTCTTCTCTGTAAAATTTAAGTATAAATATGAATTTTGTTTCTCATAGTGATATACCAGGCATGTTCACTGGATGCCAAATACATTCATTCTTCTCTCTTCCTATTTTCTAGGGTTTCTAATGTATTGAGTTCAAAAACAAGAGAAAAAAAAAACGAGTTGTATTGAGGTAAGTGTCAGAAGACTATTATTTTTTTTCTCATCAAGGAGAAAGGCAGCTTCTTCTATACAGAGCATTTGAGCCTTGAATTTATTTAACTAATTGTACCAGCAGAATCCTCCTATTCTGCAGCCTGCCTGTCTCCAGGGTTTGGATTTTCGGGAGGCTCGGGAAGCATTGGCACTTTGCACTTTGCCAGCGGAGCGCAACGCCACGCGCTCCGAAAGCAGCGCGCGGGTGACTCCCAGCACCTGCACAGCCGCGGACGGGACAAACACAACCCACCTCCCGGGAGCCCTGTCACCTCTACAGCCACCAGGAACAAGCATTGGACAGACACCAAGATGGAGCCCCTGGGCACAGGCGGGAGAGGGGGGTCCCTCTCCATGGAGGGCTGGCTCCTCAACAAGACGGATACGGGAACACAGACCTCAGCGCTGCTGCAAAACCTTTCCCGTTCTCTAATGTAGGGGATACACGATTAACACCATCTGCTAGGATCTGGCTTCACCTATTTCTGGCTTGAAGCATTTTCCTTTAAAATAAAAAAGGTAAAAGATGCTGTCTACTCTGCCAGCGCAACTGCCTATACTCCGCACGCTTCCATGTGAGTCCAGTTTGTCATTATTCCAATGAAAATATTTTGGGGAGATTAATCACACTACTCGACCAGCCCTCACCAAATTAAAGGGTTTGATTACAAATAACAACAGTTAAATTTTGGCATTCATACATAGGAATCAGCAGATCAACAACTCCCCCAGTCTATACTCCTGTGTCCAACAGAGTGAGTGGCTGATGCATGGAAAAAAAAAAAAAAAAAAAAAGTGAATGCACAGTGCTACTTCCACGCATTATTGTAACGTATGTTACCAAGTTCATATGGTCTACAGCATATGAATTTCCTGAACTGAAAGCTATGTGCACACTGCTGGGTTTTAATAACTATTTCTGGACCTTCCATCCATGAATTTATACAATAGCTCTTTGCATCTATTTATCCTTTTGGATTTCAAAATATCTTGTGGCAATGAGTTACACAATTAAACTGTGTTTATTTATTTTCGCTTTTAAAACTGCTGCCAAATAGTTCAATTGGGTTCCCCCCTTGTTCTTGTTTTGGAGAAAAAGCAGTTCATTCTCATCTCACCTTCACACACACACCACCTCATCTTGGTGATTCATATTTACTGTACATACACTGTTTTGCTGTATATACACCGCTTCATTTTTACTTCCTTTTTTTTTAAAAAAAAAAAAAAAAAAAAGAATAGGAGCTCCAGAACTGCACACAATATTCAGGAGTGACCAGATCAAAGATTATTTATGTAAAAACATAGCAATGTCCACTGAATTCATCAGAGGCAGAGTTGCCCTCTATCAAAAAGCCATTTCAGCTCTCCCTTAATGTATCATATTTAGCAATATGTCTACTGGAAGCGAGCCAGTTCAGAACACACTAGAGGTAACAACTGATGAGTTTGCCATGTCAGACTGTACAGAATTCTGTTTAAGAACTGTTGTAGAGATTTGTTTTAAACCTCTGCTTAAACCTAAGAGAATTCTTTCAACTTACCCTTCAGTAAATCATCCAGAATGAACCCCAGTGCAAGCAAGCATTTCATTTTGCCATTATGTTCCTTGAGCACAAGGTGTCCTTTCATATCTCTATTACCTATCAGCCCATAGACTTTTTAAGACGCTTCCTCCTCTTCTTTCAGTAAAAACAGGAAGCTCTCAACCTTTCTTAAAAGTATTTTGGGGTTGAGAACTGAGAAAAGATGTTTTGTTAATGGTGGAGGTTTTCTTATATACATGCTGTTCTGATCTTGCACTATGTTACTTTTGAATAAGCTACCTGTCCTTGGAAAACCTCTATCCTTTTAGTTGTTCCTTTTAACTGCCTTTTAAAGACTAGTTCATTTTATATAATTTTTAACTAATATGATGGATTTATGAGGATATTGAATTTGTGTCACTATCGGAGTAGCTCGTTGAGTATCTACTTGGAAACAAACGAGGAGTTTTTTCTCTTCCTATAGGGTCCCTTACTCCAAGCAACAGTTTTTTATAGTGTTTGCAAATTAATTTTCTGCATTGCGTCCTGAGGTAACACTCATCCAGTTTCCATATGAATGACTGGTGTCTCTCAGTACCATCAAGTTTTCTTCTCTCTCACTCTCTCTGGCATTTAACACACGTCTATCACCTTCTGAACAAAGTGATCAGTAGTATTGCCCAAGCAGCAAACTCTTTCTATACAGAGAAAGTTTCTATATAAAACTCTACATACAGAGTTTCTTTCAGAAAAATTCTGTAATATTTATGTTCTTCGGGCACAATCTTATTGTTACTTACTTTATTTGACAATAAGCTTTTAAAAATTATATGATATTCTGTCTACATTAACAGAGCTTATTTTTTCATTCCTATATAATTTTTATTCTTGAATTACAATGTTCTACTCACTCTTTTTATTCCATCAAATTACTGAAACCTAGTTAGGTTAACATTCTCATTAAAAACTGAGCAGTATAATTGACCAATGCTTTTCCTCTCCTCTCCTCTCCTCTCCTCTCCTCTCCTCTCCTCTCCTCTCCTCTCCTCTCATCTCCTCTCCTCTCATCTCCTCTTTTCCCTAAGAACAGTCATTTATTTAAAAGCATCCATGCCTGTGAAGGTGCTACAGTCACTAGTTTCTAGGTTTCCTGCTCAAATGCAACTTTGTTTCCCAATAATAATTCTTGATGATAATTTCTTGATAATAATTTTCATTTATGTCTTGTTTCTTGCTATATTTTACTGGTATTTTAGTCAATATTTGTCTTGTGTATGATGTTAAATGCCTAAGAACTGATGGCAGCAAATTATGTACTATGTTGCATCTAGCAACTCTTCCCATCTTAAGAATAAAGATTCTTTAAAAAAAACTTCAGTAGGAAGTATGTCCTTTTGCACTTTGCAGTAGAAATGCTTTGTGCCCAAAAGCTTTAGTAGAGCACTAAATCAAGGATGTAGGAATGCTAAAATCTAAACACTTCCCAGTCCAAGTAGGACTTGAGTCCAGATCTTGCACATTCTAGGATGGTAACCTGGCTGATGTGTTTCCTTAATAACATGCAGGAGCACACTCTGGAATTTAGAGCAAATTCCAAATATTCCCTGTTCTCCATTCTGTCTTGGGACTGCCCTCGTCTCAGGACTATCAGTTCATGTCCCCTCTTGGTAATTGTTCTCTGGCTTCACAAATCTTGCGTGCTTGGCTATACACTGGCCCCATTTCAAGGGAGACAGCTAAAATAGAACCATCTTTGCTCAAGTGTGTAGGAGCATTATCTAGAAGTAAAAGCTAGATTAGGTTTAGCTTAGATCACCAGACACAGCTAAGCAGCCAGACAAGGCTTCTGTGACTTGCTGTGTAGGAATTTAGAACTCCTCATAAAATTCTACCTAGGCTAAATTTATCCTGCTTTTGTTGACATGAATATGTCAGGGCCTAGGCTGGAAGGCATGTCCTTGTCACATCCACGCTGGAGAAGTCCCAGCCTCCTTTGGAGCACAATAGCTACATTCACACTACATTTTGCAAGAGTATCCTGTGGCACAGCACTGCATACTTTCATGTCTCCCCAGTACGGGTGCACAGATACTATTATTATTCCAGCTGTCTTGAGATGAAGGGCCACGGCCCACATGGCTTCTCTTTGAACTTGCTGTGCAGTAATACTGCCTGCGCCACGCAGCAGACATCTTGCCTCAGGGCCACTCACATCAACCACAAGACAGCTGAGTGTTTATTAACTTAACAGCTTCTTGTCATGTTGGGCAAGATCTGGAGTAGAGCCGTGTGGGGTGCTACTGTCATCACATCAAAATGTTCACAGTGATCCAGAACTTCGTGGAGCTGCCACTTTTCAGAAGTTTGCCCACATCTCTTACCCAAGGTGGGTCCACACTGGTAGGGCAGTGAAGCCCCACAGAGCCAGCAGGTTGGTGGAGCTGGAGGTGCCCAAGGGCTCCTGTATCCAACATGTTATTACTTTATTGTCTAAAGAAAGTGCATGTGAGAAAACAAGGGCTCCCTATTTTGTCTACATGTCTAAAGGGAGAACACCATTCTCTTCTTCCCCCCCAATCCCTTTCCTACAGAGAGTCAGGTAGTCAGCAACTGTGGCCTATCTTACAGTAGGTAGCAAGATCGGGTGCCTACAACCTGTAAAATCAGCTGGAACACATCCAAAACTGTAGCACTCAGACTTAAAAATAGGGAAGAGAGAAGAGGAAATATGGCATTCCTAATCAATACAAAAGAGTAAATGAAATGCTCAGTGGGATGCGAGAAGAGAGGGTACTTGGCACTACTTTTTCACCTGTTTTATGGTATGCTAAAAGCAAGTAATATAGATTTATAAGACTGCATTTTTTTGCAATTATCTTGCATTTTCTCCCCCTGGAACATGCAACCTTCAAAACATGGCCTTAAGCAGAGACATGTAAGGTACATTAGTCATCTGGGGATTAAGATCCATGTA